CTGTCACTGACTCCGCTGCCGCCGCACCACTAGGCCTCTCGCTCTCTAGGACTTCTTGCTTGACTGTGGCCTTCAAACACGCCGGAGCAGCCTTATACCGTATCGCGGCTGTTCCTTGCGAACTCCGTGGCCTGTCCTCCTGAGGCGAATCCCTTTCGGCACTGGTCCCGGCACTGGCCGCAGCAGCTACTTTCGGCAGCCCTGCTTTAGGCTCTGTCGGCAGTGGAAAAGCCGGTCCCGGGCGTTCTCCACCCCCTTTTTCTGTAGCCTCAGCGGCTCCAGGACCTGCCGCCTCCTCTGAGCCTTCGGCGGAACTCTCTCCTGGCTTCTTCTTTGCTTCGCTTTCATCTTCATCGTCATACGACGACTCTCCTTCTTCATAAGATTCTGGGCTCTCTTCTCTGGCCCTTGAACCTGCATTACTTGCCTGAGGCGCGACCACTTGGTCCGCTGCCCTAGGGGCGCTTTGCGGCGTGTCTGCTCTGCTCGGTGTCATGGCGTCATTTGTCCAGACTACTTCCTTTGTATCCACGGCTGTAACTTTCCACATACCCCCAACTGGTAATGGAAAGCTGAAGTAAATCGCCTTTTCATTCGCGAAGACAGGATGCTGGGCTCTCAGGGCGATCCGACCCAACAACCTGGTGGGAATCCAGATCATCACTTCACTTCCCTTTTTGATCGCTTCTGGTTGTCGAACAAAGTGCACATCGGTCCTACCATGACCTCTGTGCAGGGTCGCCTCTGAGACCAGAGCGCCAGACCCCAAGATCCCTTGCCAGGCGATACACGATGTTCCGTGGAACAAAACAGAGGACTCTTGTTCCGAAGTCGCCAGGGGTAATCCTTCCCTCACGTGGGGAAGACTCCAGCTATGACGCGCCCAGATGTAGAGCCCCAATGACGTCCAGTTGGCCTCCAGACGCCCTCCAGACTCATTTGCCGCTCTCACTAGCAGCTCATCCGTTGTTTGATCTGGGATGATGTTGAGGCACCGCAGCGCGAAAGATGCGGCAGACCACCCAGCCGCGCTGATCTGCTGCACCTTTTCTTGCTCTGAGAGGTCTCTCCCATGCCGGAGCAGCTTCGTGATCCTTCGGCTGACTTCGTCAACATTCCACTGCCCCGCCCAAACATCCCAGAGGCCTTTGAACTTTCCTCGGCCTTTGCCCTTTTCTCCGCCCATACTCACGGACCGCGGCGGGGTGCGCCCGCAGGTTAGTAGTCGCTCGTCCCCTTCCTTGTCACCCTTCCTATCGCCTCTGATGGACGCCTGTAGCGAGCTCTCTACGGCCTCGCTAGGCACCGCCCATTGAACCAGCGAATGGCTGCGGGAAACGTTAGTGGGATTGTTGCAACTAGGAACCCACTCCTAACACCCCACTCAACCGTCAACACTCGTTCTACAAGAGCCACCGGGGGAGGAACCTTGCAAACCTCTGGTTCTACACCTCCCTGTTTGTTGGAAAAGTCGTGCCTGCTCTTCCCCGCACCTATTTGGTCGCAAAGGGAACTCATCTTACTAGCGCTTGGCTCGCCGGTCTTACCGTCTTCTTCTTTGTTTTGGCCTTTTCTTTGCGCTTCCTTTTGTACCGGCCGCTTTGGGCCTACCAGTTGTTGGCTTGGACTGCTTTCCGCGCCCAGGCCGCGAGAGCGAAATCCGCAGGCTTCTAAAGCTTCCGTGATCTGCTGCTCCTGCACTGAAGATCATTCGATCGCCTGCCGGACGCGAGCAGTCACTTCTTTGTCGCGATAGACGACTCCATCCAGAACCCTGCCGGAACGGATGGTCAAATCGTCCACATATGGCAGCCATTCTTTCATCAAGCGCATTCTGCGATGCTTGCCTGCATAAATCCTATCTACGACATACGCGAAATCTTCCGGTCCATTCTGCGGGCCAAAGGTCAAACACGTTGGCAAGAACTGGCCGCTTCGAGAAACGAGCGCCAGGACCCTCTTCGCCCTCTCGGCGTTCTCTACCTGATTGAACCCGGTGACGGCATCTAACATGCTGAGGAATGCCGATCCTGCCGCTTCCAGCATTACCTCGGAAGCTTTCCTGCTGTAGTATGAGTTTCGAAGAACTCGGGCGTTGACTCTTCTATAGTCCACCACGATCCTTCTTTTTCTGGCCCGCTTTTATGCGAAGGCATCTCCTTAGTCGGAAACGGTGGGCTACCCCCCACGAACCAGCTGACCCCGCGCCACCTCCTCTTCTATCTTCTTGTCTATCCATTCCGCAGCTTCTGGCGACAAACGATGCGGCGGAGTCTTCACGGGCGGCCCCGTTGGAATGGTATCACGCTGAACGTGACGCACCGTGGTGCGCAAAGTTTGTGGGACCCAAAACCATAAGAATCCTTTAAGATAAAATCACTTGAAAATGATAAAACAAAATGGGTTTATTATTTTTAGAAAATTTTATTGTTTTTATAAAATTTATGTTTTTGATAAACAAAATTTATCATCAAATAATAAAACTTTTGTTTCCAAAATTACAAAATTCCATTTCCCAAAAAATAAAACAAAATTTATTATTGGGAACAAACGAATCTCGAGAGTGTATATAAGTGTTGTTGTTGGTGGTGGTGGTGGTGCAGGTCGTGGTGGTGGTGGTGTTGGATAGTTACTGAGTGTTCTGAGAGTTACTGAGAGTGGTGAAGGTGGTGGTGGTGGTGGTGGTGGGGCAGGTGGTGGTGGTGTTGGAGGGTTCTGAGTGTTCTGAGAGTTACTCGAGTGGTTCAGGGTTCAATGATGCATGTGTACAGGTGCCTTATTGTGATCTGTGGCGCTGCCAATCCAATATTGAACGCAGCCAATCCAGTTTGAGTGTTTTCCTTCAGCTGAACACAATCGAACGATACCAAAGCTGCAGGGGAAGCAAAAGGGACCAACTTCATGGAATGGACGCTGTGTTTCCGGGCACTGTGGTGTGGTGAAATGAGTGATGGCGTACGACAGCTGTCTGTTCTGTAGCTGTGCCAATCTGTTTGTAGTTTGTAAACTGAACAGAACAGCATCGCAGAATGTTGCGCAAAAGAACGTGCAGGGTTCATTTGCACATATGATTTTTCGCTTTGCTTTGAAAGAATTTTGAGAGCTTTGCTTTGAGAGTTTTGAGAGCTTTGCTTTGAGAGAGTTTTGAGAGCTTTGCTTTGAGAGAGCTTTGAGGGAATTTGTTTGGAGAGTTTGGAGAGCTTCCACAGAGTCGGCAGGCTTGATGGTAGGTTTGATTGACCCACACGCAGCAACTAGGGCTTCAAACTTGCAATTTTGTTCGTCGCAGTATCTGGGCCACAAGTGCCCAACTTCCCAACAGTGGTTGATTGAAAGCGTTGAGAGGTTTAGAGAGACCAAAGCACTACATAACCCAAAGATTTCAAGAACTAACCAGAAACCCTTGAACGCGTTGAGCACCACCTTTTGATTTAGAGAGACGCGAAGAAAACGTCTCCGTATTCCATGGCTTTGAAAACCAAGCGCTCACGGTTGTCAGCTGATGGGAATGTTTCCATGGTCAACCTTCAAGAAACATTAGAAAAGGGCATGGCAGAGACAGGAAGGAACCTACACCACATGGTTCAGCTGGCCAGAGAAGGGCAATGCAACTGGACCAGCACGCCGAAGACCGCGTTGGGAATACTTTCCAAGTACACTGTTGCGTTCCAGGAATTGCTGATCCTGTGCCCTAACACTGCGGTAAACAAGACCAAGATTGCGCAGGCAATCTATCAGCGCCATATAGATGGCGGTGAGGTGAGCAAGTTAGCCACCTTCAGCAAGGATGATGCTGACAAGGTTGGCGAGGTGATTCGGATTACCCTGATCAAACTTCGCAAATGCAGCGCTGATGAGAAACAGCAACTAACTAAGATCGAGTGTTCTTCAGAGGTTTGAGATGTTTACATGTGCCTGAGTTTTGACATCGAGTTACGAGGGTTTTGACACCGAGTTTCTTGAGAGTATATTTTTTGGTTGTTTTGAGAGTCTTCGAGGTCTCTTTGCGAGGAGAATTTGGAAACTAGGGTTCCAACGTACTTGCAGCATGGCCACCCAGCACGAAATCCAGATGCTCAGATCTTTGCTGGGAAGTGTTCATTACAATGACAGCCAGGCCTATCCTTTGCATGTGACCCGCACCTGCGCTCCTTAGTTCTGTGCCCTGTATGCACCATGAATAGCGTGCCATTTTGGCATGGAGGAGGATGTTTGGAAGTCGCCTAATGATGATCTTCCCGACTTCAGCGCACTCGCCACATCCACTGCCTTTTGATTGATATTATCGGCGCAGAAGTTCTGAGGGTTTTTGAAATGAAAGTTTGAGGATGCTGCAAAACGTGAGGCAAGAAGTTCCAAAGATCCTGGAGTGTTACCTCTTGCGGTTGCTTTGTTGCATAATGTTGAGTTATTGTGACCCGAGATCTCGTAGATGAGTTATTGCAACCCGAGATTTTTGAGTTATTGTGACCCAACTTGTCACCAAGCCAGGAACCTGATGAGTCGGGGTTGAGGAAGGAAGGAGAATCCATACCCGCAGAAGATCAGACACTGTTGGACGAGGTGCTTAAGTATTGAAAGTTTGAGGGTTCCGAGTGGAGAGTTTTGCAAGTTTTGAGAGTTTGAGAGTCTTGAGATTGAGAGTTATTTGAGGGGCTGAGCTGGCTCATGAAAAGGATGAGGAAGTGCGAAGGTAAGTGGACCTTAAGGTTCAGTCAACTTCAGTTCTGAGAGATACTTGGCAAGAAGAAAGAAGATAATGTTGTCGTGGAGGCAGCCGAATACGTACGTATGCTTATATAGGTTAGTACGTATGCTTATATAGGTTAAACACCAACATTCTTGCAAGTGCAAGCTTTAAGGTATCCAGCAGCAGCCAAGAACAGGACGAGGAGGCATCTCCGTGCAAACGCCCGGCAGCTCGCACCGGCAGCTCGCACCAGCACCGACCCGGACAAGGAACTTCCGCGTAAACGCCCGGCAGCTGCTCGCAAGAGAGCAAAGAATCCCCAGAAGAATTGGAAGAAGATGTTTTATAATCTTACGGGGAAATCTTCTGGATTCTCTGTCTTTGGCTCATCTGTCTCTTGCTCCTCTTTCTCATCTTCCTCTGCCTCTAGCAGTGTATCGGCGTTCTGTGGATCTTTGACCTCTGTCTGTGGCTCTTGCTTTTCAGAGGTACCAGCCTCGTCGAGCGCAGACATCAAGCGCCAACAGTCTATTGCCCAGAAAGGGCCAACAACTTTGGTTTGAAACAGGATGCTAGCAATGCTTTCAAGGTAGTATTTCGACACGATTCGCGAGTTCCACTCATATATCAAATATGGAAAAACTCTCAAAACTCTCAAGACTCTCAAAGAACTTTCAAGACTGTCAACACTCTGGAGAAATATCAGAAACTGTCGAGACAACCCTTTCAAACCCATCACGACTCTTGTCTTTCTTCGATCCTGCTCTTGTCTTTCGTTTTGTCAAATTCTTTGGTCTGCTTTGGTCTGAGGGTTTATATTCATTCTTTATGAAACAAAACACTGCCCGTGTTTAAAAGAGTTTAGGCTTTAAGGTGGGTTTCTCTTTTTTTGGTCTCTTAAATTCTTTGTGTAATTATTTATGTAACTGAATGCTCCCCTTTTTAGCTTAGGGCTTAGGGCGGGTTCCTTGAGTTTAGGGTTTAGGGTGGGTTCCTCTTCAACTCTTTATGTAACTAAACGCCGCCCATTTTGTTATCTAAAGTTTAGGGTTTAGGGGGGTTCCTCTTAGTTTATTTATGTAATTCTTTATGTAACTAAACGCTGTCCGTTATCTAAAGTTTTGGGTTCAGGGTGGGTTCCTTGAGTTTAGGGTTTAGGGTGGGTTCCTCTTCAACTCTTTATGTAACTATATAAATGCTGCTCATTTTTTATCTAAAGTTTAGGGTTTAGGGTGGGTTCCTCTTCAACTCTTTATGTAACTAAATGCTGCCCATTTTGTTATCTAAAGTTTAGGGTTTAGGGTGAGTTCATCTTAATATTTTTATGTAATTCTTTATATAACTAAACGCTGCCCGTTGTTATCTAAAGTTTAGGGTTTAGGGTGGGTTCCTTGGGTTTAGGGTTTAGGGTGGGTTCCTATTCAACTCTTTATGTAACTAAATGCTGCCCATTTTGTTATTTAAAGTTTGTTCCTCTTAGTTTATTTCTGCACTTC